AAAAAATATTTTTTTGTTTTAATGGGCCCCCCAGTTTGGGGTTTTTTTAAAAAAACCCACTTGGTGAAAAAAAAAAAAAAAAAAAAAAAAAAAAAAAAATCACAGACATACGAACAAGCGGAGGAGGAGATATTCGGAAGGGAGGAACAAGGAAAGTAAAGATACCTCTGTGTTGGGCACTTAGGACGAGCTCTGGCTCCACCAAGCGCAGCGAAAGAGAAGAGAACAGAAGAAGAGTGAGAAAAAGGAAGAAAGAGATAAAGAAGGGGAAGAGATGCCACATCAAAACAGCTTTAATAGTTATAATGAAGAATCAACCACCGGAACAGAACAGATGCAGGGGGAGGTTAGATGGCGGCTTAGAAACCAGATTCACATCAGTAAAATGGGTAAAACTGGTTAAGGTATAATTTTGTTTTCTGACAGAAAATATTAAGAAATTTGTGTTCAACTAGTTTATTAAACCATCGCATTTCAATTTTGACTAACTCTACACATTTACTATGAGGACACCATGTGGTAAGAGCAATACACTGCATCACTTTTAACATCTGAACGAAAACTGCAGCAGGTTAGGCAGCTGCAAGTGCTAATACAGATATTCTTCATGCTATCAGAACAATTTGAGCAACAATGAGATCAGTTTCAAACATAAAAATTGAGGGCGTGGTCCATACCTGTCTGCCATTTGAGGAATGATATAGTGGCCATTTTTGTGATCTAAAAAAGAATGAGTGGTAGAGACTTAATGATTGTTTGAAAGCTACAACAGAATATACAGAAGCTCACAAATCTACACATCCCTGCTAAAATGATAATTTTTTATACGGTAGAAAAAATGTTGATAAGTATTTCAAAATGTTTGTCATTTTTGATGTGGCATTTATCTTGTGAAATCAAAGCGAAGAACAAATTAAACCTGTTCAAAAGGCAAACAGAGTAGAAGATAAAAGAAGTGCAATGACCCAGTTGGATAAGCGTAAACAACATCATCTCCATCTGTCAATATTTGGCAGATGGATCTTTGATCAGATTATGAGGACATCTCTCGTCCATGAAACATCATCTTAAGGCAGAATGCTACCATCCGCGTTTTTTTTCCCCTCTATTCTTGTGGTCTTTGTTGTTGGCTTCTTAAAATCAAATATACATCATGAAACATTTGCTCAAGAGGTGCTTTCATCAGACACAAGGTTTTGGGAAATGTTAGCTAGCCCTAGATATTCTTTTAGATATTCAATTCTGTCTTGTAATCAAACTCAAATGTGTCTTATCAGAAACTTCGGGGAAATGTCCAGTTTTTCTTCAGTTTTAGTTAAAGGACTGTTCGACCAAGTCAATCGATTACCTGGTCGCCGGCCACAAAGGTAGAAGGCCAGTCTGTCCGTCAGCTCATACTGACACTCTACGAGACGCTCTGCTAGCTCGACGTGGCCGGCCTGCCTGGAAACAATAAACGCATCATCCTTTATCGTCGTTCACGCGACGTTCCAATCACGTTTCCAGTGATTGTGTTTTCAGTTGTACCTAGCGTAGTCCATCGGTGTGCGCCTGTTGATATCAAGAGCTCCGGGATCGGCGCCGTACACAACGAGCAACTCGGCCTGCAGGATCTGCCCCGCCTTCGCTGCCACATGAAGCGGGGTGGTGCCTTTCTCCTGCAGCATCAAAAACGGACGCAAACACAAGTCACATCGCAGAACAGAGCTGGTTGCTGCCGTTTTGTTTTTGTTTATTTTTGTTAAGCTAGCAAGAGGATGTTTGTTTCCTGACCGGGTGGAAGAAGTTGGCCTGAGCACCGAGGGACAAGAGGCGAAGACACGTCTCTAAACTCCCAGTCCGCACACTCGAGTGAAGTTGCTAGCAAATAAAAGCAGAGAGGACATGAAGTGAGCAGAAACGGCGAGGCGAGACAGCAGTCTTTTATTAACCTGCTGGAACTCCCCAGCATCAGGGATCATTATACATCCTGCTGTGTCATCCAGAACACATCCTGCTGTGGGGGGGATTATAAGGAAGACAGAATGTGTGCGCACTTGTGTGTGAACGGTGGATAAAAGCAGCATTGCAGCTTGGGCCTGCTGCTTCACAGTATGAATAGGTCCATCTTTGCTAATTGGCTTAAACTATTCATAACAGCCGAACGTCTTACCCACCAGCTGAATGCAAGACGATGAAGGTCGACTCTGACATACTAGGTAATAAACTTTATTATTGCACATTTTTAATCAAAAACAGATTGAAGGTAAGATAGAAAAATGCTTTGTGTCAATTTCATCATTTCAATTAAGGGATAGTTTAATGTTTATAACAAGATCAATTTAAAAAATTGAATAAACCTGGAGTCAAATAATTTTGTTTTCCTTCTTAAAATATGGAGAAGGCAGAAGCAAAAACAGTCTGAAGTTCATTCAAACGGGTTCGATTTGCATTTGGAGGCCACCCCACTGCAAACGAAATGGATCAAAGGGGCTCTTAGTGCTAGACGGATAAACTGCTCTTAGTTTGCCAAGTCAGCCGGATCCACTACTAACAGCTCAAATCAACACCATTCTCAACATCAAACCATTAAAAAAACATAAAATAAAATCCATTGTTATTCTTCAGTAACACTTCAATTGATATATTTTTGTTGCCAATCACAGCCAAACACGTCCATGGACTCGTCGGTCAGAAGTCGTCCGTTTCAGGCGTCTTCTGCTTCTTTTCACTGACTTTTCAAATATCATCTAGTGAATTTCTTTTTATTAACTGTTTATTGATTCTGTATAAATGTAACTGTCTTAGTATTTATTTTTTGTCTTTTCACATTGGGATGATGGATTGAAAAATCTTATCACTTGAAAGAGGATTTATTTACGACTAGAAACGCCACAAACAAGTTTCCAAAGAACAAAGTGCAAATTTCTGCAGTGAAGAAGGTTGTTGCTCAGCTACAAGCAGCTTTAAAGTGAGAGAAACAACAGCTATCCTGGTGTTGACTCGCAGACTACTGTCTGTGCTACTTGTACTTGGAGAAACAATTACTTCTCCATTCTGGATGTAAAAATCTGTTCAAACTGAAACCTGCAACATATTAGTAACAATAATGTGGTAAAACAAACAAAATGAGGATAAATAGTAAATAAAACAGTTTAAAAATAAAAAGTGAATCAGTGTTAAGATACTTTTAGTTTTAACTGGAACATCGAATCCGACTTATGAGAATGTGAAATATTCTAAGATCCGATGTTAGATACACTTTCACAGGGATTTGAAAATAATAGAAAGCTAAAGTTATTATGAGGAAAAATAAATGACATGGTCACGATTCTCTGCATTCAATAATTTTTTTCAGCAAACTGATCAGAATTTCTTTCCAAAACTATTACAGGCAATTGTCTGTGCGCTAAAGTCATATTGTACTTAGAAAGAAGGATGTAGGTGAATAGAAGTGAAATACTGACCTTACTGAGATCCTTTGTAGTGACACCATCATCATCCCGACATGGAAGCTTATGCACAAATGCCAACATCTGGTATTTGGCTCTGATGAACTCTGACTTAGCAGTACTGAACAAGAGAAGAACAGGAGATGATTAGCAAAAAGATCGTTCCCAGGGCAACACATGTAGCAGTAGTATGCCAAATAAAGACTGAATAATGATGCACCAATCCATTGGCTAGTTAGTGATCAAAATTGACAAATTTGCTCTTGATATAGTCTCTTCTGGCAATCAGCTGGTAAAATATTTCAAAACTAAACTATTTTTAGGTGTGCAAATAATTACATTTTTATACACCTTGTTTTGAGTTTGGTAAAAAAAATAAAATAAAGGGACATATGCTCTGATATGACAGGGGTGATATTGTTGTCCTTTCATTTTCTGTTGGATTAAAATCTTTAACTCCTACCACAGAACCTGCTGCACATTTAAATGTTTGATACATTACGACTGTTGAATTGAATTGATTGATTTGTGTCGTATTCCTTGGAATGTCTGAACAAGCAAAATAAGTATCAGCGAGGCAGATCATAACAAAACTGGAAATTAGGTTTAGGGAATCTCTGCAATCCCTATCTTTGCTTCTTGCTGCAAAATACATTTTAGAATCACAATGTAGCTGCAAAACCAATGCATTTTTGGTTCAGTGAAAGTAACAATATGAATACAATTGTTGTACTTTGACCATAAAGAACTTTCTATTCCTTCCACTTTCATACCTTCCTATTACGTGAAAAAAAAAAAAGCTAACACTAAAATATAATAAAAACTGAGAGTCAAGGATTATTTTCACATTTTGTACATAAACTCCAGCAGCAGATAAATGGTCTCTGAACCAGAGCTGATGGGATACAACAGTTTTCCTACTCGCTTTGCAAATCTCAAATTCAATGAGTTGTAAAAGGGAATACTTCTTCCAGATTTATACAACTTGAAAGAAATGCGAAAATATATTTTTTCCTTCAGATCAAGTTGCTGTTGTTTTGACCCTCCTATAAACACATTTCAACCCAAAAGAGGCCAAATAATATACTGGGACAAAACGTCTGTGAGAGCGGAGTAAGAACTGCAAGAAAGCAGAACCATAAATAATAAATAAAGGTCAACATTTTGCAGAATTTAAAGTATCAACTCAGAGAACCTGCTCTTCGTCAGTGAAAACATTAATTATGCTCACAAACGGCCAATAATTTGAGTGTCTGTGTAATTTTGTGTATTTTAAAGTCGTGTACTTACTGGACTTTGTCCTGAGGGTTTGGTTTCCTTCGACCGCTCTGCACCTGTGCAGGGTCCAGGAGACTGTGTTCCCATATGGAGTTGGCTCCATTACTGGCCAAAGTCTGAACCATCTGCAGTGAAATCAATGAGACGATTCCGTGAAGGTTCATCATCATAAATCCAGGAAACTTCTCCGTTTTCCTACTTCCTCCAGAGACGGTCTTCAGCTCTCAGCTCTTACCTGGAGTAGTGTTGGAGGCCATCCACTGTGCCTCAAGTGCTTTACTATGGAAATATGGCGGCCCAGGCTGCGGTGGACTGAACAGCACTCATCACAGATCAGAACCCCTCGGTTGATGCTGGCCCAGCCCGGGTCTGTCGAACAAACGAAAAGACGCACAGCACAATCAGTGGATGTGTGTGTGACAGACCTTCCGGCTTAGTACGACAGCTTCCTGGTGCAAAATTGGAGCTGATGTCTAGCAAATCATCTGGAATCTGAATTTACTTTCCAGAACTGCATAAAAGCTGATGTAGCAATATGTCCACAAAAAAAGTAAGTGTAAAGAGATCGTGATCTAAATACGGCAAACTGATTAGAGGTTGAGTGTCTCGAGGTAAACAGTGGGTGGCACCAGCTGTCCCACTGGGTGCTATTTAACCAAAACAAAAAAAGGGATGGGGGTTGCCACGGGATGATGTCACAATAACACTTCCTAAACAATGGAAACGGGGACAGACTTACTTTTGATCATTTTATTCTGCTTATCCAGAATAACTGAAGCAAATGTGGAAAATAGAGGGAACAATTACAAACTTTGCTGCTCTTCCTGGAAAGCTGCAATCCATGCTCTGCTTACAGTCAAATCCAATACACTTTTGTTTCATCAATAGACACAAAATGGCTAAAGACAATTGAATGAAATCAGCTCTGACCTTTCAATGCAGTACATTTCGGAATGGCACTGCAACCTTGTTAATTTGCTTTTAGAGTTTTGAGTGTCCGGTGCATGCGGTAAGCATCTTTTGTTAATCGCATAAGATTGACAATTGTGATAATATATCAAAGTGTTTTTACACATGCAAGTGCTGAAACTTTGTGGATGTGCAACAATACATTACAAATAAAAAAAGCACTCTTAACCTTTACATTTTCTTTTTTGTTTATTTACAACAAGAAATTTTACTGCAGCTTGATGTGACAGCAAAGCAGTGCTGAATTGTGAATTTGAATAAAAGGATACATGGTTTTCAAACATTTTTACAAACAAACATATGTGAAATGTGTGGAAACCACTTACATTCATTGCATTTGTAGAAATACCTGCATTCCTTGAGGGAAACTTTCCATTAGATATTGACGCTTCGGACTGATTTTCAACTAAAAATAGCTCAAGTTCAGTCAAACTGGATAGATTGTCAATGAATAGTGGTTTTCCAAGCCTTGCCACAGATGCTCCAAGTTGAAATGTAGGCTTAATCTTAGCCATTTGATCTAAACCAGGCATGTAAAATCACTGTCCAGACAAAATGGGATAAATCCATGAACCAAAACTCCTGAATTATATCTGAATTGATTCTTCAGATATAGTTCTGCAGTTTAACTAATGACAAATATTTATTTTGGATGTGTTGAAGCAGAGAGGGATCTAAAAGTACAACAGCAGGACATTAGCCTGTAGTGATTGGAGTTTGATATCCCTGACCTAAGCTGTTCCCCTCGATTGAAAAATCGATTTATTTACTGCATGTTTATGTCTGTTAAGGTTGAGATGGGACGGCACTGAAAGCAGCCCTTTAAACCATTCAGACGAACACAACAGAGACACAACTAAAACTGTCAGATGACTCATTACCCCACAATAACTCAGAAATGGTCCAAACAGTTTGGATGTACTTTTATTTCTTTCCTACTTACGGAAAGTTTCTGTTTATATCATAGGTTTGTGGTGCCTTTCTATACTAAAGAAAAAGATATGATATTTTACAACGAAATATTAATATTCATGGAAAAACCTTATATAACCTTGTATTAAAGCAGAAAGTACGGCGGCCACCGTAAGAAAGGCTTACAGTATTCAATTACGCCGCATGAACTGATCAGTAGATTATTGCGAGCGAACGCAAAACCTTTTGCGAAGGAACGCAAAATAAAACAAAAATCCCCATGTCCCCTGGAGGGCTCCGTAGAGTTCAACTCGACATCAAAATACATCTCAAATAAACATAAAACCTGCAAACAGTGAAACCTTGTGCACACTTGCAATCTGCCACACACGTCTCTACTGAAGGACACGATTGTCGGCCTTTTCATGTTTAGCTCTTGTGTTCTCTCAGCGCCCCACGCCAACCCGTATGCATGCATTTTTACGCATCTACTTAAATACGTGCCGACAAATCTTACAGAAAAAAACTCCTCATTTATAAAAACTGATGATGTATTGTTCTATCCCAAACTTTGAGATTTTTTGGGGGTTTTTTTTGAGGACATCTGTGTCTTAGCGAGACTTTTTTTAGTATCTGTGCGGAGACAAAGACAGACCCAACACACACTTAACCCAGTAGCTATGGGTACAGGGGCCTGCAGCGGCCAAAATGTTTGAGAAACAATTTTGTGGTTATGCCTACATGGAATTTGATCCGCATCTCAGGGGCAAAAAAAATAAATAAAAAAATCACGGGGTCCAAACAATCTCTGGAGCCTTCAAAGAAAAAAAAAAACAAAAAAAAAACAGATTACATACAGGTTGCATTTTTACCTACAAGGTGCTTCCAAAATGTAACGTTTTTTTTCCCCCGATTTAAAATATATATATATATATATATATATATATATATATATATATATATATATATATATATATGACACTGAAAGACAAATCATCTAGTCTGGACCACATTCACACTCTCAGGACCTTGATGATGTGGTGAGCAGCACACAACTTAGCACACTGATGTCAAAACAAGTATCTCCACATTTAGCTGCAAATAATGCAAACACACACTCATCCTCTGTCTGCATTAGTCACTCTCAAACTGGGATAAAACTGTCCTAGCTCAGAGTATTAATGGAGCTAAAAAGGTTCATCATATGATGAACCAACACACTTGGACGTTTAGTTTGCCACCAGAAAAAGCTGCAGCAAATGCAAAATAGCTCTGATGAATGCCGTTTGCCTGGTTTAGAAAACCAGCTTCAAACTTCAGAAAGCAGCAATTTAATTACTTAATCTTTAAAATAAATATAAAATCTCTTAGAGCTTAGGCTACCCACTCCGCACCCACCAATCAATGTGATGGCTACACACCATTAAGCTCTTAGACCTGCGTACACTATTAGCGCTGCTTTATTGGCCAAAGCTGCTGAATGACATAATTTTGCCTAAAACTGCCCCCAGTTTGTGAATCCAGAACTGACAACTGTTTATTGAAGTGTTCATAAAGCCTGCCAAAGGCACTAAAACAATAAGGACTAATGATGAATAACAGGATCAGAAAAAGACAAACGCCACCAAACACATCTTGGCAAGCCCAACCAAACGAGAGTCTCAGTTTCTAAAACAATCAATGTTCTGCTAAAAGTTTAACAAGGATGACAACATGATTCATAGCCGCTATAAAACTGTGCACAAAGTGTGACATTAAAGGCACCCAAGACTTGGTCAGAATCAGGAGAACAAGTTGTGCTTTGAAGCAGAGGCAACCAGAGATCCCCTTGTGCGACACAAAGCACGGTAGCAGCGGGGTGGCATGTCACCAGAGGTTAGGTGGACGTTTTGCTGAATGGCCTGACAGTCTGAGTTCACACATGTCTACCCTAAGGAGGATATGCTCCCACAGATCTGATACAAAACATGATGCAAGTAGCAAGAAACACTCATCGGCATGAAAATAAATAATTTCATTATAAAAAAAAAAGTCATACAAACATGTAAATTATGCTTAAATAATCTTTTTTTTTCCTCCCCATTTTTAAATACCTGAAAACGAAGAAAACAATCATTTCTGGTATTTAAGCACAACATGTACTTTGATGCAATTGTTGGAGACTACTAAAAATAAATAAGGATATTACTAGTGATTAAATGCTATTATCTTGACCAGTGTTTTTTGTGTTTATTTTATTGACTATTAGAGTAAAAAAGGGAGGGAGAAAATCTGGAATCTGTCAAAATTGGAATCAGGTCAGGCAAAGAAAATTGAAAATCGATGTTGGCCGGGAAAAGCATGATCAGTGCATCTGTTAAGATAATTTTGCAACACATCTCCCTGCCCTTTTGTCTCTTTCCATCTCATTTAAAGGGCTCCAGGGGAAGGAGTCATTCAGGTCATAAAAAGGACCCCATACCGAATGGATTAAAGGTTAATGTGAGCTTTTTAAAACCTATTGCTAGTGTTCAATATTGTGTTTTGCAGTACTGAACTTTTTCATTTAACGCCATATACTGCCCACTCCCCAAGTCTAAAAATGTAATTAAAAATATGAAATTATATTCAAATATTATAACTTTAACTTGGGTTTCAATGGGACTGCTGTCAAATGCAGTCAAGACTACGAGGTGGCAGCAACTTACCATTTAGCGAAAGTTAGCAGGAATGGCTAGCGTCCTAAGCTAAGCTAGTCGTGTTCGGTACGCAAAATCCAATACCTAAAAACAAATTTCACCAATAAAATTGGTTACTTTTAAAGATTAGTGTGATCTAATAAGTCAGGGCATCTATCCTGACCAAAAAAAAAAAAACAGCAAAGAAAAAGCAACATCGCCAGCTAAGCTAAGCTAACTTGTAAAGGGCTCCATCCCTGTCAGGAAAATCAAAACAAACGTCCCTCCAAGCATAAATCTGACACCCAAATCTTCCGCTGCGGTGAATAAACCGGTCCTCCAAACATACCATCATAGTCAAATCCAGCCTACTCAGTAATTTTTTACATTATCACTGTACAGCTGTTAGCTAAATGATGTTCCCTTGTCCGATAACACGCCTATTTTTCTCTGTTTATTTTGGGCCTAAGCGAAGCTCAGGAGTCCAGGCCGTTTTCCTGCTTTGCAGACCCCATGACAGTGACAGAAACTTCGGCCCCGTTGGCCCACCACGTCGGCTTTCCTATGTATTGTTCCGACACAATGGTCTATTTTTATGTATCTACCCCCTCCCTACCTGGCGCACTGCAGTCAGCGCAGACTTCAGTCCTGTGCAGCTTTCTTGACATCTCGAAGGTGGCTGAAACCGAGAGGTGGATGTCTGAGCCGATGTGAACGCTCGCTCCGTCTTTCCTCCCCCTCGAGCCACCGACCGACCGACGTCTGCCGTCAATCGCTTGCGGCTCCTGAATCCCCGGAAGCCGGGTGGCGTGGTTTGCTTTGCCGGCGGCCTGAAAACTGATTTTCCAGTTGCTTCGTGGGTCTCTTTCTGAACTCCAAGTCTAGAGCCAAGTTAAGTGGACACAGTTAATGTCTGTAAATGAATCGCATCTTGCTAAGAAGCTACATGCGTTAAATTAAATCTGGCCCCTGCATTGCCTGCGATTCACCGAGAGACGGCAGCTCTCCACCTGCCACTTTGTCTGTATGGTAAGCTGTTTGTATCATTATTGGTTCGAAGTACCCCCATTCCTTATCTACTTATTCCCATTTTGTCCCTTCATAGTTGGATTTTATACCAGTAAATAAACAATTTCGTATAAATGTCATATGACATTTTAAAAATAAATTAAATATGTAAAATTTTATTTAAAATACTGAAATCTCAATTAATTTGTGCTCCAGGTTTTCAATATGAGCTGTTCCACTCTTATCAAATATTTCAAATTATTATCTCAGGTCTAACCCAAAATAGAAGTGTAGTAGATATTATTTGTTGGATAGGCATGTTTCTTTGCAAAGGTTTATTTATAAAATGTAGCAAGTTACTGTCAATTGTCAAAACAAGTAAACATAAGATTGGTGTCTTCTCTTTTGATTTTACTCTTCAGGGGTCGCCACAATAAAATTATCCGTCTCCAATTAGTCTTATTGTCTGCATTTTGTCCTCTCACACAAACCAACTTATTTTCCTCTTTCACCACATCCATAAATCTATTTTTTTTTTAGCTTTCCCTCATCCTCCTGGCTCAAACCTTTGCATCCTTTTACCGATATGACCACAGTCTCTCCTCTGAACATGTCCATACCTTCTCACTCTGGCTTCTCTGACTTTACCTCCAAAACATTCCAAAGAGAAACTCAACATGTTGAACTCGGCAGCCTCCAGTTCTGCCTACTGTCTTTTCCTCGTCAACTCTGTCTCTAAACTGTTCATCAGCTCAGGTCTCACTACTGTCTTGTACGCCTTTCCTTTCAATCTTGTTGATACTCTTTTGTCACACATGACACTTTTTGTCACCTATCCCAACCTGCTTGCACATACTTCTACACTCTTTTTCTACACTTTCTGTCACTCTGAATCATTAAGCCTAAGTACCTAAAGTTTTATACCCTCTTTACATCTACTCCCTGCAAGGTCAGCGTTTTACTTGTGCCACTCCCATTTACACACATGTATCATATCTAGTTCTGCAGCCTGTCCATCAACAAAAGCAATCCTTGATGCATTCCAAACTCCACCTTGAACGCCTCTGTCACTCCTACAGCACACCTCACTACTGTCTTACAGCTCTGATACATGTCCTACATCACTCCAATCTCTCTGCCAGCCAGCCCAGGCTTTCTCATACAACACCACTGTAGATGACACATTTTCATACCCAGAAAGGTCAAGATGATTGGATTTGAAGTTGTGAAATGCTGCTCTTTTGTCCAACTAACTAGTATGAGCGCATGAGTTCCTCAACAAAGGCAAAAGTCCCACTAGTAGCACTAGCCAAACAGCTTTACTCTTTTTTGAAACATTAGTCAACAACTGGCTAAAACTATTCTGGTCTAAACAATAAATTGATTACAGGAAAATGTAAAATTTGTTTCCAGGAAAAAATACGGGGATGTGTTTTTCTATCCTATGCCTACTACGCTGTTGAGACAGAATAGGAAGTTTTGTCTGATAACAACTTTATACCAATATCTTACCATTACCAGCTGCTGGCATACTCTTACTGATTATCTTCTTATATTTTTAGAGTGCTAATTTAAGGGTCACTGGGAAACTTGAGGGCAGATTTAATTAAACTTCTAAGTTGGGGTTTTCTATCAGCTGATTTACTAGTTAAACATTGTCTTTGATTCACTCCAATCTACTCATGGACAAGTGTATCTACTAGTATTTTGCCTTTTCTTGAAGGACTGCTGTTCTCACCAAAGAGTCAATATTTTGCAAAGGAAAATCACTATTATGAGTTAGTTTTATTTTGTGTTTTTTAAGTAGTGCTCCAAAATATTTAACTGAGCAAGCATCTTACTAGTGAAGTGTACAAGAATAATGTCTATCATCAAGAACTATTATATACACCAACGGCTTGCCAAAACGTATCCAACATCCATGGGAGGACAGGGCGGGTCGATCCTGTCATTCCTAGCGTGGGCTGGATGAACCCATAACCCTACAGGCATCAAGTTGCCCCAAATAAAAAGTATAAGATGGAAACTGCCTAATACGATTGAGACTAAATATTTTATAAGCCTGTAGCTGTCTATAGTCCTGTTTTGTCATCCATACGTTCAAAACAGACTCACTAATCCATACATGTGACATCATTACTATATAAAACACACTAACTATCGCGTTTTTGTTGTTTTTAGTTAAATGAAAAGTGCAGCACATTCACAAACAATAACACAAAAAATGGGCAACAAATGAGTTGTGTATTTAATTTTTAAAAACGGGCAATTTGTGATTTTAATTTCTTGTTATAGTCCTTTAGTCATGTGTTTAACTCACATCCCCGACAGCGGATTGGCTGAGTGTGAGCACATTTTTTTATTGCGGCTTGTCAGTGCATCTTTCTCAGTCACCACCACCGGATGGGAGGAGAGGCGGAGGATAGATGTGTTAGAGGAGGAAGAGGAGAGAGAAAGGCAAAGGAGTGGAGGAACGAGTCGAGAAGAACTCAAGGTGTATTATTTGAATCTGCTGAGACAATCAAGACAGGAGTGTTATCCTTTTTCCACTATCTTGACATATTATTGAAAATTTCACTTTATTTCAAGGCGAGCGAGTGTCGGTTCGTTGTCACTCCTGACGCGTAAGGTTACACGCCTTTGGGCATCACCGTCGATGAAGGATGGTGGGCACGACTATGTAGGGTTAATTTCACCACAAAGTATTTTTGCGAACTGCCGAGGAATAAACAAAGAGGAGGGGGCAAACTATGATCCGAGGATGATTTCTGCAAAGAAAACTCTGGAGGAGAGTCGTTATCCTGTCCACTATCTGGTGTGGCACAACAAGCACCGTCAGCTGGAGAAGGAGCTGGCAACCAGCGAGCAGGTAAGACCGAGAAGAGCGATCAAAGCCCTCCTATTCTACCTCTCAGACATGGCCCTGTTTCAATATTCTCTTCCCGATGTATCACTCTACATTGCTGTGAAGGGGTGGTGGTTTCCACGCCAGTCGTGGAGCGTTTCGCGTGAGGAACCTGGGCAATATTAGCGCAGTTAATTATTATCAGTAGGGTGGAGGGAGACACTTGTGGACTTTGTGAAACTGGAATTCATTCAATGTTCCGATATGCATTAGATGTCAATATACGCCACGAAGGCTACTGATGTTTGAAAAAAAAATTATCCACCCTGCTTGTCTTTTTTTAAAATGCAGAAGTTGTATCTCGACTTTTTTTTTTTGCCCCCCCCCCCCCCCCCCCCCCCCCCCCCCCCACCCCCCCCCCCTCCGCTCCCCGGCCGGGGCGGTTCGGTTTCGTAT